AATAATTAATTGAAATAATAATCCTTAATTGTTATCTTCTAAAGATTTTCTAAAGATATATCAAAAATAATTATTTCAAATAATGTTTCATGCTTCTAAATTTACATTTCAAGGATTATTTTAAATATTATTTTTATATAAGTAACAAAATGTATATAAAAAACATATACAATTTAATTAATCTCATAATCTTCGTTTGTTTATTAAACATTTATATTTCGATTTCTTATCTTCAAATGCATGCATTTCAAATAAAAAGTTAGTTGAATAACGCTCAATTTACAGAAATGATTTCTGAAAATGGTTAATCTACTGTTGTTCAATCTACTGTTCACTTCAATTGCTTACTCTACAATACAGAATATAATTATGAAAATTAAACATATTCACAACCACCTGTTAAGGAATGCAATTCATGATACATGATATTTTATGATGAGAATAATATTGAAATATTTCATTACATTATAATGCAAGAAATATTTCAAATAACAACTTCAAATTGTTATTAAAAAATAATAATTAAAATATATTTCATATAAAAATTCGTACAAAATTAAATAAATATTTCAATTAATACAGAAATAAATAATTATTTCAAATTGATTAATATCAATAATATCAAAACAGAAGTTTAAAAAATATAACCTATAAATATTTTTATTTCTTATTTGAAATACTATTTTATCCAGCATTTTGATTAAAATTCTAGAAAGAATTTATGATTACATACGTAGTTCATCGTATGAATAATTTTCGGTTAACCATGATTAAATCGCTTTTCATTCTCATAATATTTACCTTCACCTCGAAATTTATTCGCGCATGATTGCATCCGGCTTGCTAATTGGCGGGCAAAAGTAGAAATCAACCGACTTCGTTTCAAATGACCCGATTAACGGTGGGAACAAGGTTACGTCACTTTACCATTTGAGAAATTGCCGAACGTCTCGTCCACGTGTCTCTCGACATTTACGAGAACGTAAATGCACTATTCATTACTCCGATAACGTTTACATTTTTACAGATACAGACAAACTGTGCTTTAAATTTTGAGTTAAAATTTTATTCTTGCGAATAATTCTATCTTGATTCTATTTTAATTCCGACTTCTGTAGAATTGAGAAAAACAGAAATATATTTGATGTAAATGAATAGAAATAAATATTTTATTCGAATGATGTAAAGTTTATGACATCATTAGTTTATATGACATCATTGTATGAATACTATAAAATTATAGAATATAGAATTTCTATTTAATAGAGTATTCGTTTGAGTGATACAGAATGTTGCAGAGGCATATATGTATATATTGTAGTATATATACTATAATATAATATATTACAGAATTATAAAATATATATAAAAAAAAAATTAGAAACATAAAAATTTTGATAAAATATTTTAATTCTATTTTAATTTTGATTTTTATAAAAAGTTGAGGAAAATAGATTTTTGATAAAGCAAATAATATTTTTATTTTTTCGAATAAATATTATAAAGGATTTATATGATGGTAAATGATTTTATTATAAATGAAAAAATAAATCGAAAATATAGAATAAAATTTTTTTATTAAAAGTTTCATATTCGAATACAAAATTTTCAAGCTAAAACTGGCTATTTTCCGATTAGATACGAATTAATTATTTGTTAGATGGTTATTTTATAAATATTTTACAATTATAAAATTTTTTACAATTATAAAATAAAATTTCATAATTGAAATTCTTATTTTTGAGAAAATTGACATGAATATATATATACATATATAATCAAATTTATATATAATTTTCAAATTCATTTTTCTCGAAAATTTAATTTTTAAATGATAAAATTTATTTTATATTTTTTATTTATTTTTACATGTAAAATAATCAGCTATCGCTAATTCATTCGTATCTAATCAGAAAGATAGCTAATTTTAGCTTTATACTTGAAAATTTGTCTATATATTTTCTATATATAAATATAGAAAAATATAGTTTTAAATAATAATAGATACTTACAAAACAAATGTACAATTTTTAACTTTATCATTATATAATATATTGAAGTCATACTGTATATATAGTAAAATAGAAAATATTAATTAATTTTTAATATTATTGCGATTAAATGTAAAATAAATATTTAATTTATATTAAATCTATTTATAAATAGTATTTTTTCATAATTTAAATATTAAATCTAGAATTTTCAAATTTATTTTATTTTATTTCAAATTCTTTTTTTTTTATATTATAAAATATTTACATATTATTCAAAATATAATTTTTTTCTTGGTGAACACTTGCGTATTTTTTAAATCGATTTTCAAATAATATATATTTTTTCCTCTATATTGTTGTGTTTCTTTAGAATTAGAATTATTCCGATATTTTCAACATACTTAAATATTTTTTATTCAAATTTTAACCACGCATTTTATTTAAATAAAATAATTTCGTTTCTAAATGAAAAAAGTTCATATTTTAGAGTAAAGGTATTCCATAAATTCATTTTTTGTTTTATTAAACATATATTTGCTTTCAATTTTAAAAAATAATATTTGAAATAAGAAATAAAAATATTTCCATAAATCTACATATTTCTTTAATTTTAAATATTATAATAAATTATAGATAGGTTATTGTTTTACGATAATTTGTTTTTATATTAATTAAATAATATCAAATATCAAATAAACTTTTTTGAAATAATTACTTGATTTTATTAATGTTTATTATTTATAATTCAATTATTTTTCAATGTAAAGATAAAATAATTAATAAAATAAAAAATTAAATAATTGAAATAAATATTTTTTTACATATATATATATTTACAACATATTTCAAATTTATTTTTTTATTAAATTTTATTCATTAATTGAATTATTATTTTAATTAATAATTTAATATATTCTATATTCTAAATATATTCTATCGATTAAATTATACTTTCGATAAATATTTTTTATTAATTTATTTATTATTATAATTTTTTTAATATTTATTATATAAATTTTTAAATATTATTTTAACGAAACTATTTCGATTTAGAGAATTATTTTTTATCTATAAAATTACATATAGAGTAAAATATCTTATATATAGAATTATCTTATCTATATAATATATATTATCTATATAATTATTTATATAGAAGCTAATTTATATAATAAAAGATTATTTTGTATATGTAAAAATATTCTACGAGTACTGAAAAATATAAAATAAAATATTATCATTTAAATTCTTAATTTTAAAAAATCGAGATTGAAATATATACAAACTGTATATAATCAAATTCAAAATTAATAAATAGTAAAATAAATTATATTAAATCATAATTCATATATTCAATTAACTATTAATTAATAAATTGTTCATTAGAAATAGTTCTATGAATTATAGAAATAAAATAAAATAATTTTTAAAATTCATAAAATGATTTTTCAAAAATAATGATCTTTTATAAAAATCTTTTTTTAGATATTTACTGTAGAATAAAAAACTTGAATTCTTCCGCTTATTCAATAATATATTATCTCTTGCATAGACACTATCATAAAAATATTTCCATAATTATTTCCACTATCAAATACACATATTTACTACTTTAATGTTCGCTTTTTCTGTAAGTCCGAAATATCTACATATCCATATACAATTTAAGATTAACGTCGACATTATTCATACCATACCATATAATATTTGAAATCAAAAAAATATATCATACACTGCACAAAAGAATATTTTGCACTTTACCAAATATTCGGCATACTCTAATAAAAACAAGAGTATTTCTTCTTTCTGAAATTGGTTACATATTAGATGTTTTATGAATTTGTCATATAAACAGTTTAGATGTAATTGTTGAAACGATAGATTATCAGAAAACAGATCCATTCACAACTCTTAATTTTAATGGTAAATAATAATAATTTAATCACTTTTTATAAGATTCGTATAATAGTTTATAAATCTATTTAATATTATCTTTTATTATAATATTTTTATTATAATATATTTTTTATTTCATTTATAAAACTATAAAATTTTAAAAAAAAAGTCTATAACCTAACATTATAGTTATAAATTACTATCAAAAGCCAGAGGGCTCTGATCTCGATTAAGCCTTAGGGCGTGAATACATTGGACAGTAAAGCATGACAAAAATTGCTCTTGAAAGTATTTTGCGCAAATAGAAACTACATTGAAAATGATTGTCGAAGACTATTTCTCAATGTAATTTTATAGTTTTATATCTGTATATCTGGAAAAAAATAATCTTGAAAGCAATTCGTGAGATATATTTTATTTCAAATCTATATTTTTAATAAAATCTAGAATTATTTTTATTATTGTTCATTCAAATCATCTTATCAATCTTAAAAATTTATTCTTTTATTATTATTTTATTTGATATAAAATTATAAAATTGTTGAAAAAAAATTTATAATTTTATGATATACCACTTATCAATTTTTAAACAAAATGCTTCCTATTATCTTATTCTTTTTTCTAAAATTAAATTTAATTTACAAATTAACCCGATTATTCTAATTAATATAAAATTATAAAATTATAGAAGAGAATTCTATAATCTAATAATATGTTATTTTTCAATTCATTAATATTATTATAATATTATATTTATAAAAGAGAAGTTACTAATTATTAACGCGTTGCCAATTCATTAATATTACTAGTTAATAAATTACTACGCAAGAGTGCTCTGGTTGCAATTCTTGAACAAAGCTTGTATTAAAACAAAGACTATATCATTCTCTTTCCCTTAAATCATACAAAAGTCTCGTTTAATTATATATACGCAGTATTTAACAATCTTTCGGATTAGTACAAAAACAAAATCATAATTTTTATATCCGATTCTTCTCTATATTCGAACAAGAGAATCCTACTTTTATCAGCCTACTCTCTTTCGAAACATAACCTCAATCAGTAGTGTATATATTTATAGAGTCAGCCTGTGTTTACTTTAACACTCACCTTGTAGAAGTAGAAAGAGTCGATCTTCGCGTTCGCATCTAGCAGCGTGTCGTTGATATCCGGATAATCCGTAAAATTCCAAATTGATCCCTCTTTTTGGAACGTGTGATTATTATCGGTCCTATCCACGATTTCTTCCACGGACATTTCGTCCTTTGTTCGTCTTCACCGCGGTTATTTCGCGATTTTCAAGTTTTTTACTCGGTGATTTGGCCATAAAAAATTCATGGCTTCTCACGAATTTTAACTAAGCATCCGACGACTTCATTTCGTTTCACCTTGTCTGGCACAAGAACGATTTCCGCTTTGATTCACCTCGGATCGATTTCACTAGATTTGCGATTACTGCCGAGAGTCGTGATCCTCGAACATTCTTCCGGACACTGTTTTCGACGACTCTGCACGAAGAAAGGTTTTTTTTAGGTGATTCGAAGGATAGAGGTGGGGGATTTGTACGGTTTATGGAGTGAAGTGACATTGAAACGCGGCTGTTTACTCGGTACTTCGTCTTTTTGAATCATAATTGAGATATTTTGACTAATTCAGATGAAAGAATTGTTTAATTGTTAGTATATTAAAGTGAGATAATCGATATTCTTTATCATTTTCTTTTTTCTCATTTTCATTGTTTTGTTTGTTTGTTTATATTATATATAAAGTGTTAAAATACTCCTAGAATTTATATATTATCCAAAACAAACAGGAAAATTGATATATAAAAATTTTTATTTATTAGACAATTTTTTAAGCAATTTAAATTTGCTTTAGAATAAATGAAGAAATAGAATTGTGAAAGAATGAGATGATTTGATTATTCAAAGATAAAACTGTTTCATTTTATTTTTATTTCATCTAATGCAAACTTAAATTATATTTTAATAAATAAATTTCAATTAATATTTTTATATATTAACTTTTGTATTTTTTTTGATTTCTAAAATCTATTTTTCAAAGATATTCTATAAATATGTTAATAGTCTACGATAAATATATTACATAATATATATATATATATAATACATATATATATATTTTTTCTTTATTTATATATGCATTACATTTATTTATAAATATAAATGTTTCTATAAAATGTAAATAAAATGTTTTTGTTAAATCAAATGAATTACATTCAAAATTATCAAAACTAACTAATAATAAAACTTTGTTCCAGCATAATGAAATCTGAAATGAAACAAAACAATTGATTCTTTTATACTTTTAAGCTTGATTCAGCTTGATTACAATTAAATCGTGTCAATATCGCTTACACAATAATCCAATAAGTGCTCCTAGAAAATCAAATCAAAGTAAAATAAACTGACAGTGGAATCGATTTACTAATAATCAAGATCATAGCATTTCAATCATTATTTGAAAATTGAAAAAAATATAGATGACGAGCTTTAAATTCATCCAAAATTCATTATATGAATTGAATTGATTGAATTGTATGATTTCAATCACAAAGGTATGACCAAATTTAAAATTTATAGTTATTTCAAAAAAACAAAATTATGAATCTAAATAAAAAAAAAACTTAAGAAATAATAATAATAAAGTCATTTTCATTATTATTCCTCGAACAAATGAATCAATATTTTCACAATATTTTTATATCAATATTTAATTATATCTGAATTATTGAGTGTGAATGTTTTAATCATTGTGACATAAAGTAAATAATGAATCAAGAACATTAATAATATCGAAAATTTCCACTTATATATTCCCTTAATTGATATCGCATTTCCTCTCGAAACGAAGATGAGGCCAGCAGGACGATTGAATCGTTCCTATACGAGATACAGCGTATATCACTGTGGGACGACACTAGGGCCGTAAATCAAGGGCCTTTCAACGTGACCGGTTGAAAAATCCGATTCTTAAAAATCGGTGCATCAGGAGAACCTGTTCTGGGAAGAAGCGAGCCGTCTTCCTGTTACGTGGGAGCATTTCGTTATGCTGGTTATGTCGAGTGACCTCTAAGCGAGATTCGAGAAGCGGGAAATGGAAGGAAACGGATCGCGCGTGATAGTAATAGAGAATGTTTTAAGAGATCAATAGAAAAAATCCGGACAATCATGTTCCATTTGATCTTTGGAAAGAAGATCTGTGTTTGGAGGTACTTTTATTTCGAAATTTGTACGAGATTATCTATGAAAAAATTAGGTTTTATGAATGAGGATTATGAAATAGAAAGATATGTTTGATATTATGAAAAGAAGAATTATTATTATTATTATTATTATTCTTTGAGGAGCAAAAGATGAAAAATGAATATAGGTTATATTATATATATAAAGTGTTGAAATTAAAGATATTGTAAAGTATAGAGAAGTTATATAGAAAGATATATATAAAATTGTAAAGTGAAAATAGGTTAATTAAGGAGATAGGTTGTATTGCATAGAATATCGAGATTATATAGAATTTTGAATATAGAGAGATTGTGTATATATAGAGTTGTATAATGGAAATAGATTAATTAAAATAATAAGCTTGTAGAAAGAAAATGATGTGCATTAGTCTAATTTTTTTTTTTTTTTTGAGAAATATATTTTGAAATGAAAAATTAATTGAAACAACTTAGAAATTTAAGCTAAATCCAATCTAATTTAATTTTTATTTAATTTAATCTAAATTTAATCTAATCTAACTTAATTAAAATATCTAATTAAAGCCTAATTTTGAATTTAGTTTAAATCTAATCTTCTATTTAATAAATTTTAAATAAGAAGCGAATTAAAGAATATTACATTTTTATTTATTTACATAAAAATTAAGCTATAATTTCTTAAGCTGACTAGAGTGAAGTCTTATTTTAATGAGAGAATAAAGACTTTAGAACAAATTTGTGAAATTATAAAATTAAGAAAAGTTATTTCATAAATCTTATTATTTCATCATCTTGTTTTGAAATAAAATTCTTTAAAAAAAATTTATAATAATATTATAAAAATGAAAATATTTTAGTCAATTATATTTTCGGTAAATAAAAAATTTTGAATTTTAAAACATGTCTCTTTTAAAAAAAACATTGCAAAAAATATGTTTGTCATAAATAATAGTATGAAAATAAAATTGAGAAAAATGATTTTATGAAACTTGTCATAACTTTTTTAAAAATGTTTGAAAATCCAAAATATAGATGTGTGTAAAAATGTATAATCTTAAATATAATTTAGTATATATTTAATTTTATGTCTGAATAATCATTTTTACTTGTTCATAGAACAATCTTTATTTTATTACATACTTTTCTATTATAAAAACAATGACAAAATTTTTTTCGTTGAGTTTTTTCTTTAAATAAATTTCAAACTTAACATTTTTTTTCACGAATGGAAATTTAGTTATCATGCTTCAAGCTATTTTCTACTGTAACTTTGTTCATAATTTGAACCTAATCATTTAATTAAATTGCATTGTTTATGAACCATTGTCTTCCACGATTGTAATATCTATCTTATGAATATGAAAAACCAAGGTCAAATCAAGATTTGTGCAGCTAATAATATGATAAAATTTTAGACTTTTTAAATTTTTGAATTAGTCTAATTATGATTTTTCAAAATTTCAATCATTTTTTCAATCATTTTTTCAAAAATCTCATAATCGATATATCTTCGTTCAATTAAAGAAAAATTATTACAAAATCAAAAAAAAATAAATAAATAAAATTACATGATTATTGACATATCAAATTGATATCATTATTAAGAATGATATCAATATGATGTAAAAAAAAGAAATCAAGATTTTATATATCAAGTTATTAGAAATTTCATTTATCAATCTTTTACATTATTTGATTATATTTTCGATTTTGAATAGTAAGAAAATAAATAAAAATTATACGATTCGAGATTATTGAAATTAAATTTTATGGTTAATAAATTGTCACATCAAGGAAAAAAAATTAAAATTGTTGAAAAAAGCTTATTAAAAATTTCATTTTCCATTTATTCTTTTATTTTTTTATTTCATTTCAACTTACTGTTTCTTCGAAAACTTTAACAATAAATAAAATAAAAACTACATGATTCACGATTTATCGATATTAATTTTCTATCTTTTTCATCTAAAAAGATGAAGATTCTGTTGAATTTATAAAAAATTCCATTATTCCTTTCATTTTTTTATTTTTAATTCACTTTCCTGAATTTTAACAATGAAACTCAAACCATACAATAAATCAAATAATAAACCAAAATCGCACATAATTATTAATATTAATTTTTTATTTAGGAAAAAAATCTGAAAATTTTAATAAATCTTTAAAAAATTTTATTCATTTTTTTCTTCATCGTTCGATTGTTTGAACTTCAATAACAAAGAGAAAATAAAATTGATATTAAAGCCAGTGAAAATGGAAGTTAAATATAAAATTTTTTTGTTTCTTAATTTAATTTTAATTTCTTCTTTTGTAATATCTATTCAGAATTTCAAACATAACAAATGACAATATATGCTTCATTTTTTGTTAAATGCACAATCATATTCAATTCAATAATTATTTATAATTAAATTTTTCGATGTCATAGTTGGCATATAATGGATTTTTTATCAATAAAAATTTTTATCATTTTCGATAGAAAATTTCTTTATTTTGTAACAGTATGATAAAGTGGAATATTTAATCAATCTCTGGTTAAAAATAGAAATAATAAAACCACTTTATATAATGAAAATATTTTTGTAAAATTTTTATTTTTTAAACCGATAAATAGCAATATTTTATTTATAATATAAAAGTTCATGTTATGAATTTAAGTTAAAGTTAAAGAGTTTAAGTTTTCTAAACACAAATATACCGACAAATGGTAATATAGAGCCATCCAAATTTAACATATCTCGTATTTCATTTTTTTTATTTAAATATAAAAATCAACTTTACAAAATTAATCAATACAATAATAGAATATCATTTAAATAATTTTTTTTACGAATTCGTCTTGTTTATTGAATTTTTTTTGCATAATCGTTTTATCCATCAATTTCACAAGAAAGAGAACAAAATAACCAAGATCATGCAATTTAATTTCATTAAATTTTTTCTTTTTTTGAAAAGTAAATTTTATGTCAATAATCCAAAAACAAATAAAATTCATGAACCGAAATATTATACTGTTACACAAAAATCTATTAGAAAATTAGATAAAATGAATAAAATTTATAAAAATAAATTTATAAAAATTGATATAATTATTTGAATAAAATTATGTTCTATAATTAATTTTATAAAATAATCTTTATATTAAAATAAAAAACTTGAAATATTTCCAATATTTTATATTTCAATTTAATTTCAATTTAAAAATATGACAATCAATATGGATATCTTTATATATATAAATATTTTTTCATAAAATATTTAATATTAATATTTTTATAAAATATATATATTTATATAATATATAAAATTTTTAGAATTAAAAAAACTCGGTCGATAAAGTAATCTGATTGGTATTTTTTTTTAATAAATACATTTCTCTCTTCCGAATCACATTCTAATTGCTTTCTTCTCTTTGATACAATCGAATAAGAAAAGAAAAAAAAAAAATCACATTCGATAAATGCACAATGTCACACTTGCAAGCAACGACAATGTGTTGGTAATTCATTCCGCAACAAGTTACGTTCTTTTACTTTTGTGCTTGTCAACCGATGTCTTTCGCGAAAGAAACATTCTCAGTGTGTTACATGTTCTCGAGAGATGAAATTTATTCGAAATACAAGATTGTCTTTCAACGAGATCAAAAAATACGAAAGTTCCACGAAGAAATATCGATTCGACATCGTTATTTTTTTTTTTTTCTTTTTAATTTGCAATCGTGGAATATTTCAATCAGGAAATAAAAATTCTGATTTCTGTATATGAATGAATGTCATCTATTTGTAAAGTTATTTGAATTTTTTTTTTTGATTTCTGATATCTTAAAAAGGCGAAAATAAAAATTCTAATTATTACAATGAAACTTCTATTAATCTTTTCATTTCTGATCAAAATTTTCAAATTTCCAAAAATTCTTAAGAAAATTGATTAGCAATCCAATGAAAACAGATTTTGATCTCTGTTAATGTGACAAAATATACTTGTTATAATAAGAAATGGAACAAGGGTGGTAAATTTCAATTTATATCGGAATAAAAAAAAAAAGAAACAAGGAAAACAGCAAAATGTTACGATTGCTCTTTTCACCTTTAATGAGAATCCTTGGGCTGGTTTTTTTAAGTTCGATGCATTTTTGATTATCCTTTTGATTATGCTTTTTTTTTTCGCGGACTGCCGTTTCGTCAAAAATATAAAAAATCGCAAGAAACGATTCCTTGTCGAGACGGAAATAATAATGGACGGAGTATGGACAGAGTTGGGAAAATGCTATGTAAAGGAAGTTGGAAATGGGGTGAAAACAAACAAGAACACACTTGCTCGTACGACGCGCCGAACGCGACTGAGCCGGCGAACAAATCCACGATGACTATACTTACATTTTCGTAGACGATGCTATACGCGTGTAGGAGTTTGCAAGCTGCGTACGCATGCGCGATAAAGATCCTGTCGGAACATAAACTACCCGGTTACTATCGCGATAATCTCGAATAATGTTTTGAAATTTTTATTTAAATAATATAAAAAAAAAATATTTGAAAAAAGAAATGTTTAGCGTATGAATTGATGAAAAATAGTTCTTAGAATTGATATGCACTCGTTTGCAATAGTAACATGAAAGAAAAAATATTAGACAAGTTAACACGTGGATCAGGTTTCGCTTAATATTCTTATGCATTTTGCAATAATGCGGTATTAAATCAATAATAATTGTTTATAATAAAAAATTTGTGAGATTTTGTAACCATTTTATTGTAAATAATTTTTTTTTAGAACATTTTTTAACGTTTTTATGATAATATATAATTTATGACAATATTATGTATTATAATATGGCAAAAAGAAGTTTTTCTATCTTCTATTTTTAATTCTCGATAAAAGATGGTAAAACAAGAATAAGTTTATATGTAAAATATTACTAGAGAAAATAAAAATATAAGATGTTTTGTCTCTCTCTTTTTTTTTTTGATTTGAAAACTATCTAATTATAAATAAAATGATTAAATAAATAATTTTAAAATTAGAAATTTTATTTTATAGTTTACAAAATTTTACTTGTAAATGTAATGTCAAATATTCCATATTACAAATTCGCCGAAGAAATATAATAATTCAAATTTTTATTAATATTTTAAAACTACAATACAAAATTTATTTATTTATTTTTTTTTATTCTTTAAAAATCATGAAATAAATTAAAATATGAAATTAATTAATATTTTTAATATCATTTCTAGAATAAATTAGAATATTTCATTAAATATGCATATATTAAAATTTTTTGTTATAGTGAAAGTAAAAATCACTAACAAAAAACTATAACTTAATAACAATTGATTAATTGATAGCGATTAATGATCAAGTACACGTGAATTTTAAAAAACATTTTTTTACAATAATTTTATATTGATTAACAAAAGTCACTTTAATCAAGGAATAGAATCAAAGAGAAAAGAATTAATTTGAAAATATAAAAAATTAAAGAAAATGAAAATTATAAATCAATGCGAATCATTAGAAAATGATTAATTATATTTTTTGAAAATCTCATTTATCTTCGTATCTCCTCTAAATCGTCGAATGAAATTTCGAAAATTTAAAAAAGTTGAATGAAATTGCTCTCCGAACATAATTTATTAATTATTAGCAATTTTAGAGAGAATATAATTTTATTCTGCCTTTCATTAGTTGAATATACACTCAAAGTTTACGTATAATCATTATTTGTCCACTTTTGTCTCTTTCCAATATGAATTGTACAAATATGTACATTGAACATAATTAATGATACATAACATTACTCACATATTCACGTATCATCAACAATGCAAAATATTTCACACCTTAGACGTAACAATCATCTTTTGTTCAATAATACCTGACATTGGCAGCATTAGAGAGTTCTCGAATGCCTTTACTCCCACCTTATGTACATCCATTTGTCAAGATTATCGACTGCTTTCCCTCTGCATCGAATTTCTCTATACTTATGCTACAGTTATATGGGAATTTGAACAGGTAGCAAGAGGAAATGAAACGTGGGTGAGAAAAATGGATTATACGGTGATAGATCTGTATACTCGAGAAGATAATTCTATTTGTTGAAATAAGTAAAAAGTTTATATAAACTATTTTATATACATTATTTTTTGAGATAAGAATAATTACTATTTTTCTTTCATATTAAGTTTCTCAAGAATTATGTCATACAGTGTTAATATAAAATATTATATAGAATAATCATAAAGTATCTTTAAAGGATAGAGACTAGAGGTCAAAAAGAAGTATTTCATGAATGTAAAATAATAATTAGCATTGGAAATAAAATTTATGATTTTTTTCATTTTTTTTTTTTAATACTTAAAGTAATATATGTTGAAATATTATAAAATAATGTCAAGTTGTGTTAGCAGTTATGTTAAAAAATAATACAAATACAAATAGATTTAATAAAAAAAGGAAGAATAAATATTCATAATTTATTATTTTCTGAAGCCTTTTACAAAAAGTGTATTTTTCTTTCAACATATATATATATCATACATTGAATCATAAACTATATCTTTATCATTTATTAATTCATAATTAAAGAAAATTTTATAAAAATATTAATTATGATTTTTTATTATTAAGTTATAAACAATTGAGTTATACGTGTAATTATTTCTAAGACAAGCATTTTTCAAAATATTTGTCACTTAAATAATAATATCGTTTTAAAATTTTGTTTATAATTGCAAAGAATCATTTATTATTATAAACTTTTATCAAATCATGAAATATTGAAAAATTGAATAAATAATATGCAACATTGAAAATATTATATATTAAAAAATCATAAACAAATTCTTTTTACTAATTAAATAATTAATCATACGCAGTAAAAGCAAAAATTAAAGGGTGGAAGTGATATTAATATAGAAATCCATATTCTAACCTAACATTAAATAATTAATATCCAATACAGTAAAATAGTATTATGTCATGCTACTGTCTGATTTTCTTATTCTATGCCAAACTTCAATTGTTTACAGCTAGAGTGTAAATGTTCATCCAAATGCATAGAATATAGAATGATAATATATAGATAAAAGATACAAAATGTAGACAGAAATTTGTTTGGTCATTGGAAGATCCTAAAAATATTTTTTTCATTGTACATGGATTGCATAATGTATATTCTTTGTATTTTTTTTTTTTTTTGAAGAGAAGAATATTCGTACAAAGATATTGCATATTTTGTGCTTATTACATAGCATATTTGTATTACAAAATTGAATTCTTTTGTTATCAACAAGTATTCATAAATATCAATAATACATTGTCGTTGAAATATATTTTTTTTAATTTGAAATTTAAAATATAATATAGATATATTTTAAAAAATTGTATACAAAATTGTAAACATATATTCTACATTATTTGTATATATATTTCATGTATATATGATGTATATATTTTTATAAATATAAATGGTAGTTTCTTAAATATTTGACAAGTATGAACATCTGCATTCTATTTATAACTTAATAAACAAATCTTAACAGACATTTTCAGTATACCCACTTTTATATCTGTTTTGATTTTTAGAATCTATCATCTAAAGATATTTCACGAACATATTAATATTTAATGAATGTATTATGAAAATCTTGTATATATTTTATTTTATATAATATGTATGTATTAATACAATATTTAATATAATAATTATATAATTTTTAATTTGATTTAATTATAATTTAATTAATAATTGTATATTATATTAATATTTTTTTTTATTATGCTTTTATAAATATGTGCATATATTATACATATATATATAACTAATGATATATATATATAACAATGAATTTTATTTAAGATTTTTATTCAAAATGTTATACAATATAAATATTAATAATTAATAATAATATAATATATGATGCGAAAATTATAATTTATTATATATTATATATTATATTATTATTATATATTATATTATTATTATATTACACCATTTAATATAATTCATATATATATATACGTACGTATTCAAAAATATTGTTCGAATATTATCAAATATATTTTGTATCCTTTCTTACAAGTCAAATAATAGATTACTTCCATTGAATATACTATATATTTTTAAAAATCTTATAAATAAAAATTTAATGGAATAAAAAATAATTGATAGATAGCTCATCATCTTATGCATAAATTTACGAAAATAGCCTGTTCAATAACATCTATTAATAAAAGAACGTTCAATTTTATTAATTTCAATAAAATTTATATAAATTACACGGAGCAGATAATTATTTCTCGTTTTCTATTCACAGCTTTGTATACAGCATTCTATATATACATATATGTATATATAGAATGATTAAATAGATAACGATAATTCAGAATCTATATATTGGAAAAAGTAAAGAATATAAAAAATGTAATGGGGTGAATAAAAATAATTAAAAAGAGAAATAATTTTAACAATATTTTTTTATTAACTAGTTTATTATTATTAAAGTTAAGATTGAATATACAATTTTCATTTTTTTACTTGTTTAAAATGTGTAATAGTCAAATATCTATCGATAATTTTTTTTTTGAATTATCTCAATTAATTATCATATAAATTCCATTTTTAATATTAAATTCCAAAATATTTATTGTATATATTCCATTCATATTCACCCCATTACATTTTTTATATTCTTTACTTTTTCCAATATATAGATTCTGAATTATCGTTATCTATTTAATCATTCTATATATACATATATGTATATATAGAATGCTGTATACAAAGCTGTGAATAGAAAACGAGAAATAATTATCTGCTCCGTGTAATTATAGCAATGAATGATAATTAATCGAACATCGAACGACAATCTCATTAATTAGTATGCTTATTGGCATTTTACCGTAAAAGGTAAAATACGATGATTGTCATTCGAATTTCGTAACACCTATATGCGCATTGTTGCTGCTTATCGATATAGGCGGAAGTGCATTCGCCCATATTTTCAGTATGCACCGATGGTAAAACAGTTACTCAGCGGGTGCTCATAGCGAAACTATTGAAATTCGAAGCACGTCGCGTATGCAACATATTCGTAGGGGACAAAGCAACAAAAGATCTTTTATCAACATTGTTCCATTCGTCAAGAAATATTTTTCATTAACTTCATTGATACATCGTTGTTTAGAAATTCAATACGCTCTGTTTTTTTTATCGACCGGTTCTATGTGTAACAATTCTTTTTAGAAGAGAAAATTTTTTTCTTTTTCTCTTTTCATGAATTTTTTTATTTTTTATGAATTCTTTAAAAA